ACCAAGGATATGGACAAATTAGATAAATGGAGGGGGGAAAAAACACTTTATGCTTTTCAGTACTACTAGTACTAGTCATACTCCATAATCAGTATAAACTTCTCTCTGTGCGTCTTTGCAAGATGCTCGTGGACGTGGTGCTTATGCAGGGTGTCAAAAGAATATGAAAAATCGATCGAACCAATCAAGTCAAATCTAACCGAACCAATTTATATCATTTTTTCTATAAAACCGTGGACATTTATTTAAGTATATAACCGTCCCGAACAATTGAGATGGTCTTAATTTATAAAAAAAATTAAAAAATTCTCGAACCGAACCGAATAACCTTATATGTAAATATATTTTATATATTAATAATATGTTAAATTTAATATATAAATATATTTTATTAAAAAATTCAAATATAAATATATTCTAGGTCGTAGATACTATAATAGATACTCCATCAAACAATACGACAAAATATGCAAGCACTCCTATTAAATGTTTAAGATCAAACAATACGGTAACAAAGTTTTATATTCTTGACATCTTGATGAAGAAGTGAAGTACTTCTTCAAAAACATACTTGGGAAAGAAATATTATAATAATATCATATTTTGAGGTGATACTTTCAAAGTAAAAAATTAATCGAACCGTACCAATACCGAAGAGAAACCGATATGATTGGGATGGTTTTAAGAAATCTAATGTTGGTTATATATTATAAAATACCCAAAAATTTGGATGACATAATTTTTTTTAAAATAACCAACCGAACTATCTCATTGACACCCCTAGCTTACACAGTACTACCTCCTGAAGTTGAGGTCTAAAGATATGGCATATGGGCCTAACTCAATCCCAAAAGTTAGCTCCTGATGGGAGGTTTGTCCAAGTCGATATAAGAAGACCATATTTCCATCCCTCTACCGATGTGGGATATCTTAACAGTGGAAAACGGTTAACTTGGAGGACATTCGTTGTAAATTATTGAGTATTTCTATAGTAGTGTTTATCTAGATGGGGCTATTCATTAGGTTTCATGTACTAAGAATGAACATGGCGGTGGTTTTTGAAGTCTGTTGGTTTTTTATCTAACTGATGAGAAATTTAGTGAAATATGCTTGCCACAATCGCTAGTTCATGTTTCTCATTTGGATTTGTCTGTTAGCTGTGTGGCGATCGAATTTCTATGATTTGGTATGAAAAGGGCTGAAATCGACTATATGAATTATCATTTCATCATTTATGCTCATCTCACATCTTCGTCATACTAAAATAAAACAAAAGTGAAAAATAAGAAACAATATCAACATTTTCCAAACCAAATGATGAAAACAAGTTCAAGTATCTATGCAGGCCTATCAGTTGTAGGTTCAATTTACAAGAGAATAACCAAGATTAGGACCCGTTTAACCATAAGAACTTTTCACTTCGTTCTTGATTTTTTTTTTCCACTTTATTTGAAATTCAGTATTCGGCCATAAAGATGAAGAAGAGAACAACAAACAGAGAAAAATAGAGAAAAGACATAAAGTCACCACTAAAGTTGTCTCGAATTTTCAAAGAGACATTTTAACTTTACGGGCGTCCTATTATCCCACAAATGTTTGGAATATCTTTGTAAAACAACCATTTTGAGCCATTTTCTCACCTGGCAAGAACGTGTAAGCATTACCTAGTATTGAATATCTTTCTTTTCATTTCTTTTGTTTCCCATTTCTCAGCTTTTCATGTCTCTTTGATTTCTAGGTCAAGCGATAGTGGAGTACTGGAAATCATCTGCTTCATTCTTTACGATTCTTCGTCAAAATTCTTGGAGGAATAGTTGAGTAAACAAGGAATTGAAGGTTAACAAGTTAGGGTTTTCTTACATTATTTGAAAAAGATCATATTTTTAAGAAGAAATTAAACCTTATCACAAAAATATCTTGATTTCTCAAAACTAAATGAAATTAAGAAGAAATTAAGCCTTGAACAATTTCAAATTAAGTTTTTCGACTAAAAATTAAAAGCGAATAGTTTTTGGGGAAGATGATGAATTCATCATAGAGTTCCAGCGGCTCTTTTGAGTTTGTTTTGGGGAGATGATGAAATTAAATGAAGTAACTAATTAGTAAAGAAAAGAATTGAAACGTGACACCTTTTAATTAGTTTTTAGGACAAAAATAGACCTTCATGTGCGTGTTGTACGTATTCACAAACCATGTGAGAAAATGGGTCAAATTAGTCCTCTTACAATTAAGATATTCAATATTTTAGTGAGGTAATAGAACACCCGCAAAGTTAAGTTATCTTTTTAAAAATTCAGGATAACTTTGATATTGACTTTATGTCTTTTCTCAGAAAAATAAAATAGTGACATGTCTACACATTAAACATATGACGAATTTATTTCAGTTAATCTTGATGGTTAGAAAAGTCGGACATCAATAAGCATATTAAAAGTTCATACGGTGCAATAAATTTAGCAATTTATACCATGCTCCGCTAAATTATAAATCTAGCACAACATGGTATTAAAAGTCGATCAAATTCTCACAACTTTATAATATATACTACTAAAAGTTGATAAATTCTCACAAACTATACTACTGACAATACTGCATGATATGTTTTCAGAAACACAACGCTAAATCTTATTGTGTCTTCAGGTTCAGACGCAACCCCACTGCTTCAATCAAGCAACAATAAACTCTCGGCGTATATTTGCTCAAGAAGAATGATTACCCCGACCATGGATATCAAGATCCTTCAATTCCCTGTTCTCTGGATCAAGCGACAAAAGATATGCAGGATACTGCACAACAAAAAATTCCTCATTTCTTATGAAACCAATAGCATCGATAATCCTACCATTCAAATTCACAACGAATTTCTCCATCCACGACTCTGTTTTACTATACTGATTCAAAACCCAGACAATACCACTATGAAATAATTAATGATCAATTATTTCATAGTTGTGTTGTCTGGGTTATGAACCAGTATGGTAAAACAGAGTCATGGATGGAGAAATTTGTTGTGGATCTGAATGGTGGGATTAGCGATGCTATTGGGTTCACAAAAAATGAGGAATTTCTGGTAGTGCTATATCCTAGTTATCTTTTATCATATGATCCAGAGAGCAGAGAGCAGAGAATAGAAGAATCTTGATATCCATGGTACGGGTGATTCATTCTTATTGAGCAAATACGTTGAGTATTTAGTGTTGTTTGATTGAAGTAGTGGAGCTACATCTAAAGCTAAAGAAATAACTAAGATTTAGCGTTGTGTTTATGAAAGCTTATTATGCAGGTTAGTGTTGGAGATCCATAGGGAGAACAGAGAAAACACAAAAGAAACTAAAGAATAATTGTCTCAATTTATTCATCTAAATACATAGGTATTTATACATAAGAAAAAATATTCTACATTTAATGTAAATTATACAAATTAATGTGCATAATATTCTAAAATTAATGCTACACAATAATCTACACTAAATATAATATCTAGAATATCTCTTATATATATTCTGTTGTGCAAGATATTCTAGATATTATATTTACCTTAGAATATTGTGTAGCATTAGTTTTAGAATATAATGCATATTTATCTAGAACTAGAATATCTCTTACACTGTTGTACATTTAGTTTTGAGTTAAATCGCACATTTTAATAGAAATCAGACATTAATACGCATATTAAAGTAAGAGATATTCTAGACATTACATTTAGTGTAGAATATTGTGTAACATTAGTTTTAGAATATAATGCACATTTATCTAGAATATCTCTATTTCTCTGTCTCATATTAGTTGATCACTTTTCATTTTGCACGGTGCTTAAGAAATCATATATAAGAAAATAATTTTACTAACTCTCCCTTTAAAAAGCTTTTTGGAAATCTTACAAACAAATGTGAACACTTTCAAAAATAATTAATTGCACGGGTAATATAAAAAATTAATTAATATTTTCTTGATTTAGTATAATGATCAACTAATATGGAACATAGACAATAAAAAAAAGCTCATAAAGTTTAAACCCTAACCACTTGAACTAAGCGCAACTTTTGTTTAATTAATGTCACCTTGTGGTACATATCCATTTTATCTGTTTTTCCCTTTTAATCATATATACATATTTAATAAATTTTCCCAAGAAAGCAATGTCACGAGACACCCCATAAGCCTTCTTAAATCCGTCCTTGTTATTGACACAACTATTCACTTATTTAGGAACAACAAAGTTTAAGTGCAATTAGAAAGGTCCAAACTAGCACAATGGCTTCAAACAAATACAAAAAAATAAGCCTTTTTTACTTAATCTGATGAGAAAAAATAAGTTTGGCCAAACAGGCTTTAATCTTGAACTTGATATTAGTTTATCTCACTCTCAGGTGACAATCCTATCCAACTTGGTATCATTTCATCTCGTTGCTTAGGTAGCATAAATTAGTTTCGATATTAATTACATGATTATAATTTCAGAGTAACTTTGTTCGTAAGCCAAACGATTCCTAAAATTCAAATTTGGTAAGTAGTGCAATGTCACGATTCGAGACTACCCCTAGTTGTAACACGGTGCTTGGAGTCACTAGTAACCTCAAGTTAACTCATGATCTGCCTTGATACTAAGATTCATACATATAATAATAACTGAATATAACCATTGCGGAAGCTAAATTGAGATAAATCTAAAACAACTGAATAGTCAAAATAGAATTAGTTTGAATAAATCATAAAGCTGAAACTATTGTCTTCAATTGCTCAAAATGATGACATACTCCAATTGACATTGAACTCGATCGTTACATCACAAATTGGCTAGTGAACGATACTCATTGCTTATCCATGATCGTTGTTACTTATATAAGTATTTCGAGGTCTATTTATCTATTTTGTACACTTTAGCAAACTTAGAGGATCAAAAATTGTTCAAAACTATAAATATGGAACCATTTTGTCATTTCTCGTATACTATATATATACACACTAAAATTCCCTATACGGCGCCTCTGTTTTTTTTTCCCTCTGAGAGAAGAGAAGAGAGGAACAAAAAAACAAGAATGGGTTCATTGAGTGGTGGAACTGGAAGTTTATGGGGAATGGGATTTTTTCATTCTCAAGAATGGAATTCTGGAAGAAGAAGAAGAAGTAATGGTGGAAAATCGTCAAATTCAGATTCAGTGGATGCAAATAGTGGAGCTGGTTATCGTTTTCCTTTGAAGCAAGCTATGACTGCTAGCTCTCTTGCACTTACTGGTGACACCATAGCTCAGCTTCGTGACCGGTGGCTCAAGAACAAAGATAATCTTCCTGACCCATCTCAACCTAAGGTTAATTTTCTAAAAAAGATTCGAATTTGGTGAAATTTAAGGTTGCTTATCTAGTAAAGTAACCAAATTTATTGGATTTTAGAGTTGTGGGGTTTGAAATGTTGGTATTTCTTGAAACCCCACTTGGATTTCTTGAACCCATTTTGGGAATTTGGGGAACTTTATGAAGGTCATGTTTGGTAGTTGTGATAATGTGAATTGTCTGTTTGTTGTTCATGACTTGGTAAATTTGATTGTTTTTTATTTTTTATCTAACAATGAGTTAGGTTGAGAAACTCAGATGAGCTCACATTAAGTGAAATTTTGACTGATGATGTAACAAAGTTGAAGCTATTCTGCTTGTAATAGTGTTAGTGTAGGACAGATGTGTCAAAATTGAATGATTGACAATGAAGGGAAGAGGAATGTGATGAAAAGGTTGGTTACATTGTAAGAGAAGTTTGAATGGGGTGAAATTTATGGATTGAGAGAAGTATGAAGAGCTGATTGATATTCCGTGGTAAGAGAATAGTTTTTGAAGCAATTCATGTTAATGCGATCATAGTAAATACGAAAGAGTTCATCTTGGCATAATCGATGTTCTTTGATAATCATAAAAAGTAAGTATTCCAAACCAATATTGATGTATCAGTTTGAAACTGACATTTATGGTCTAAGAGGTAACTAGTGGGATTCAAATGAAAATGATGTAAGAAATGATGGGAAAAGAGGTTTGCCGTCTAACAAAATTTATGGTCTCAGATGTCATTGTTGTCTGCAGAGTGTATCTGTATTGCACATAGATTCTTGTTGCTGTCCAAAAGATAGTTCATATTTTTAGGGATAAAGTATTGCCTCGAGGTGGTCCTTTTATGGAAGCATGAGTGTGGTGCCTCCCTGTGCTTTCAAGAACAACCAAGCAAAGTGGGAGGCAGGAATTAACAATGTCCGAGTATGTGCCTACTTCCAAATATTTTGTTCCAGCTTATATCCTGTGCAGTTCCGATGGAACAACCTATTCCTAATCAATAGGCTCATTAGGCCTGTCTTTTTTTTGCCCCTAGTGTATGTGCTTTTGGTTCTTAGCTCAATCCATATGGGTACTTTTGTATGTTTTGTTTTATGTCTTCTCATCATAGTTGTCTCTGTCTTTAAATAGGTTACATATCCTCATTCTCTGACTCTATTATTGAACTATAGACTTACATGACCCAAGGAGTAATTTCTTATGGTATGTAATTTTACCTTAAGTAGCCAAATTAAAAAGCTTAAGAAATGATTGCTTCAGCTGGTGCTTTACCTGCTTTAATCTCTTTTCGAAGATTAGTGTTCTGTCTATCAGTAGTCTCTTTTGAGGTTTTCAAAACATTAGCTGCTAAGAATTTCCGGTTTTGAAGAGCATCATGCTAAGAGCATGTTAGCATGCACTCTACTATGGTCAATCTCTTTGGCACATAGTGTTTGTGATTTAACCAGTCACATGCACTCTATATGTGTCTCTTCTGTTTTTCCCCTTATCAGTAACAACACTTAAATTTGTGATTAGGTTATAGCTATTGATCCTCTATAGACAACAGGCTTGAAAACAATGTATTTCTATTGGCTTTTGTCTTCCTAAGCACAACATGTTGATGGTCTCTTCGGTCATCACTCTTCCAGTGATTGACTTGTTCCATTATTATTGGCCTGCCAGTGTCTATTAACTTATCCATGCGGAGGTATACAATATCGCATGCCTCCATAAAGAGAAAAGAAAAGCCAAGCAAAAAGAAATTCTAGATTTATTGCTAGTATTTGTACAATTAGGAAAAAGGAAAGGGGTTACTTACTAATCAGCTTCTTCTTTTTTTCTCTTTTGCATGTTGGGACTAGGGAGGCTAGAGTTTGCATATCCTTTGATATTTGATTATCTTATTCTCGGAAGGATGGAGTGGGTGAGGGGTGGGGGCTAATAAGGAAGTACTCTTCTGTACTCCTACCAAAGAAGAAGCAAATGGAGAAATCTTCTCCCGTGTGATGCCTAGTGCTGCCCTCATCTACAGACCAAGAAGAGGGTCAATATTCCATCCACCTTTAGCACCCTCTCAAGCTTCACAACAAACGCTTCCTTGTTTGATCACTACACCATACGCCAGCTCCATTTGCATATTGGCAACCTTACGATTACTTGACCTATATATTATGTACAATTACTTGACCTATATATTATGTACAATTACTTGATAAAAGATTTGTCTTTCTGTCAATATTTGTTGACCAATCAACCCCTTCGGGAAATTTCATATTCTTATTGAACTATTCAAAGCGGTGATCATTGGATTTTCTGTTCTTAAATATAATATCCAGCTTTAGGAATTGATGTTAGTTGTACACTGAATTAATTCTCGCATTTTGGCAATAGCTTATCTATATGTTTGCTAATACATCTTAACAGCTAAAGATTTTGCATGTCTTTCGACTTACTCAAAGAAAAGAAGAAAATTTGCATGTTGTATGCAGTATGCACTCTTATTCAATGACTTCCATTTGTTATCTGATTCACTGGATTAAGAATGTAACTTTGGGAGTATATACACACTAATTTGAATTTTCTATTTGACTAATATGCCGTTTTAGGATATGATTGGTGCTCTCCTATCTGAGCATGACTGGCTTCGGTCCATCCGGATGGCTTCATATGGATTTTTGTTATATGGTCCTGGTACTTATGCATGGTACTCATATCTTGACAGATGTATGCCCAAGCAAAGCGTGGAGAATGTAATGATGAAGGTAGTTATGCTTCTGAGAAGAACCTCTTTCATGATTAGCTTGACCTACCAATGAAGAAAGAACTACTTCTAAATGAGTTTGACCTGTCCCTCTAACTAGGACCTTTAATACTCTTTGTTTCAGGTTTTATTAAACCAAATAGTGCTAGGTCCTTCTGTAATAGCTGTTATCTTTGCATGGAATAATTTATGGCTTGGGAAACTTTCAGAACTTCCAAACAAGTATCAGAAAGATGCCCTTCCAACTTTATTGTTCGGTAAGCACTTCCATATGACATACCTTTGCCAGTTGCTTTAACTCCTTCTCCCTAGTGAAGTTTGATTTCATCCTTCATTCTCTTTCAGGATTTAGGTTCTGGATCCCTGTCAGCATTTTGAACTTTTGGTATGTCTTTTACTACTCCTTAGCCCCTTCCCCAACCCTCATCCCAAAAGATGGACAGATATAAAACAAAAACTTCTCATAATCTCTGTTAGTCTCGCTGTAATGGAGATCTTCTCATTCTCGTAAAAATGTTTTTTCTGAGATCATAGATGTTATTTTTACATCATTTGCTTAGATATCTTCTCTATTACCCTTGCATACCATGCTCACTACCTCAATTAGTATCAATGCCGGAAGTCACATCTAAACTGTTCTGTTTCTGGAACTGTTTTTTACATTTCATCTTTCTTTGCATTCAGCATTTAGTCAGCAATACAGTCCATATGTTGGTAGTGTTACCGTGTTTTGAGCTATATTTGTGCACCTGCAGTCAATTGTACTGGCTATAGCCTATAAGCTTGTTTTCTGAGAATTTAGAGTGTTTTGCTTTACATAAACGACTTGTCGCGCATCTGCATTGGGTGTGGAGCATGCATGTAAGATTATTTATCTCCACGAAGAATATGCCATCACGCGCTGCCCTATTGCTTGATCTCACAGAACACTTATTTTGTCATCAGATTGTGCCAAATTGGCAGTTGTAATTTTTATTGATCTTTGTCATCAGACAATTTATTGGCAAATGGCATATGCAAGTCACAATTTTCTCCCTTTTCATGTATTTGGTTATGAAAACATGCTACTGTTAATATCAGTTCATTCAGGTTGAGTTATGTGGTTATACTAGTAACTGAATAGTCTTTAGTATAAGGAAATATGACAACTTCTGTGTTGAAAAATCATAGGGCGATTCCTCTTCAAGCTCGTGTTGCGTTCATGTCTATGGCTTCTATATTCTGGAATTTCTGTTTGTCAGCAACTATGAGCAAGTAACTGTCGTCGAAAGGATTAGCAGGAAGAGCAGGTTAGTGCACACGCCTAGCCCAGTATTTTAGTTTTAGTATATGTCATGTCACATATAAATATTAATCTGCTAATTTTAGGATCACACAATTGATATAAACGTCAGTCAAGACACAGAAAATGATGTCTGGATGCAACGGTTGAAACCATTCTAATTTTCCAAAGGTGGCTCGCACCAGGTTCGACAGTGCCTCAGCTCGCATTAACTACATATGATTTGTTTCGTCATTGCTACAAGTTCTCCAAGAATATAGTTTTCTTCAGTTTACGAGTGCTATAACGGAAGACATTTGATTGGCTTGTTCGACCAATTCTTTCGTTAATTTGCTTTCTTTGTCTGGTTTTACGCCTTCTTTTCCCTGTCTCAAAACAAAGATTTTGCAGTACATAATTTAAAAACAAGTGCTGCTACATTTTATATACGAAATGATCATGTCAAATTCTTCTGCTTATGTGTTATTATTATATCATTGATAAGCATAATGTCAAAGTCATATGTATCGGTTACGCCTCAACTTTAAACTAGTTGAGCTCGACTATATGAATCCTCCCTGAGCATTCCACGTCATGAATTTATTATTCTTACGTTCAGTCTCCTCTAGCTTCCGTTCTTTAGAATTTGATTCCTTTCTCACTTATGACGGTTCTGCTTCTGAAATTCCAAATATCTGATTCATCAAAACTCTGTAAAACGAGAAGACAGTGAAAGACAGGAATTGTCATCCGTTGATCTTGCTGCACTGGAAAGTCACTTAAGGGTGTGTTTGATATGCAGGAAAATAGAGCATGCGGAAATAAGTTGGTTTCTTATTATTTTCTGGTGTTTTGCTAAGTAAGCAGAAGATATTATCCAGAAAAAAGTATTGACTTAGCACACGAGCAATAAATAGAATGAGAATATTAGTATTCCTCCTGTCCATCTTTAATTGTCCACTATACTATTTTGGGATGTCCAACAATATTTGTAAAGTTTATGAAATCAATGAATAATTTATTATTTTGTGTCTATTTTACTATTGCTATTAAATACTATTCATTTTTCAAAGTTTAAATGACTTATATACGATAAGGGTGCTTTGGTAAAACTACTACAATCATTTACTGCTTCTTAATTCCTGTGTCAAGTTAATACTCCCTCTGTCCATTTTTATTTATCATGTTGCGCTTTTCGAAAGTCAATTTGACTAATTTTTAAAGTTAAATTAGATTATATTAATTCGATAGTTTAAACAAAAAATTTAGATATTCAAAAATTATACGAAAAATACTATAAATTGCAATTTTTCGCATATCAATATGATGAAAAAATATATCGCAAAATGTTAGTCAAAATTCTAATAGTTTGACTCTAAAAAATGGAAATCATGACAATTAAAAGTAGACGGAGGTAGTAGTACATAACTATTGTTGGACAGAGGGAATAATAAATTTAAGAATCAAACGATAATAACTTTGACTAACATTTTACGATATGCAAAAAAATGGAATTTGTAGTACTTTTTGTATCGTTTTTGAATATCTAAATTTTTTGTTTAAAATATCGATTTAATGTAATTTAATTTAACTTTGAAAATTAGTCAAATTAACTTTCGAAAAGTGCAACATGATAATTAAAAGTGGATAGAGGAAATAGTAAGAATAAATTAGGAACTAGGTGATAAACTATCTGTTGATTTTCCAAACTAGATAAGTAAAAATGAGCATTTTTTTGAAGATCGTTTTTCTCATTTTTAAAGAAAATATTTTTCAAAAATTTTGATCGAACAAGAAAATTATGTTTTCCTCCTTTATCAAACACACCCCAAGTTAAATTATGAAAAGAATCTATCTCTAGAACCAAGTCACTTATACCAACTACACAACACACAGCCAAGAACAGGATTCTTTGCTTCTCTATTAGACAAGCACCTTTTGATTGAGAAAAAGAATAACATTTCACCTCAACACACAGTATTATAGTAGTAATTTAAAGAGAAACTCAAAAGCTGCTATACATCAAATATTAATTCTCCCAAAACTGAATAAGAATACAAAGAATTGGTAATCAAGAGAAAATTCTACAAACATGAACAGCAACAGGCCTCATAATTTTACACCATATGAAAATTGGAGCAATGGAGAGTGGCGTGATCCTAATTCACATGGACCTGAGCACAGATGGCAACCCATTTTCCCTCGTCCTCCGCCTCCCCGAGATATCCCTCAGGTATTCTCGACATGAAACATAGATATACATGTTAGTTCAGTGTTGAGAATTTTAAAGGTTGAACGTATCAAATTTAAATCCTGAATCCGACACTAAAGAAAGCTCCTATAATTGATTTGATTTTTTGTGTTGCACAGAATCCTAGACGTGTCGTTCATGATCCATGGTTGCCTGTAACAGAGAGACCATTTCTAGTACCTACTGGTGCAACAAGGTAAACTTTTGTTCTATCTTTTTATTTTTGTCAAAATCCAAGATTGATCATTTCAAGAACCACTTGCAGTTATCCATATCCAGGCCAACCACGACGTAGGCTAACTCATCCTCCTGTTCGCGTTCTAGCCCATAATGATGATGTACCAAGACATGGATCATATCAGAGACCAAGCCAACTTCCATTTGATTCTCCTCCTCCTCCATGGTTTATGCAGAGCAATGAAACGTCAAGGGATGAATCAAAATTGAGCCCAAATGAGCAAAAGGCAACCTTGAATAAACTCAAGAAAGAAATCTACAATCCTGTACAAGCAAAAATTGCAAAACAAGTTGGCCTTTACTTTAGAGGCTTGAACAATAACATGAACAACACTTCAACCAACGAATCGAGCAAGGATGAGGATGGCAAAAGATGTTCAATTTGCTTAGAAGATTTTGAGCCTAAAGAAATGGTGACAGTCACACCATGTAGTCATATGTTCCACGAAGACTGCATCGTTCCATGGGTGACAAATCATGGCTCGTGCCCTGTCTGTCGATTTGCTATCTGTGAAAGAATGAAACAGGACACAACAGACTCATCGGCGCCAAGGACTAGTAGAGCAACAAACACAATGCCACCACATGAACTGATGATGGAAAGGAGCCTGATTTCTATAATGAGAGCATTTGATGAAACTTTTGAATTGGATCAAATTAGATCCCTTCTCTTACCAAGATTAACAAGAGGCTAAGTGGGGTTGCTTAAATTTTTAGGCTAATGTTACTACTTGCCTTTGGTTTATTACTTGTATGAACACACAAACAGAACATGTATTTGTTCTGTCTTACAAATGAATTATATCTTACTTTAATAAAAAAAAATGTCTCTTTCACAACTTGATGTATGTACATGTTTTGATAAGGTCTAGATTCTTGTAAGTGGAGATTTGTCAAGCTACTTTGCAATTGTTTGTTATCTATTACTCGCTCCGTCTCAATTTATGTGGCACCTTTCGAATTTCGAGATTCAAACTACTAGTCTTATTTTGACTGTAATTTTCTCAAATATCATTTCAATATCTTGAATTATGAATTTATCGAGATTTATAATACTTTTTTAACTTAGTTTTCAAATTATGTATGTAAATTTTATTTTGAAAAGGTTAAAAGTTAAAATCATACGGTTTGACTCTTGAAATTTAGACTATCACATGAATCGGGATAGAGAGGTATATTGAAATTGCAGTCACTTCTTCAGATACTTATATATAAAAGCAAGTTGTCCATCAAAAGTAACAAATTTAATCCTTTTAGGATGACTAATTTCCAATTAAAGGTCTTGTACATATTACTTCCGTCCACTTTTAATTATCATAGTTTACTTTTTAGAGTTAAATTATAAAAACTTTGACTAACATTTTACGTTATATTTTTTTCATCATATTGATATGTAAAAAATTGTAATTTGTAGTATTTTTCATATAGTTTTTGAATATCTAAATTTTAGTCAAATTGATTTTAGAAAAACACAATATGACAAATAAAAGTGGACGGAGGGAGTAGTTTAATATATTTCACTGCATCATACTAACTAAATTATAAAGCTACTAAACTTAAAAAATTTCATCCTACTCTTAATCAAACTCTTCTAATAAGATCAGTGACGAATCTAAAATTTGAAGTTTAGAAGTATTGAATTTTATCTTTTGTTACTAAGTTCTAATTTAGTAATAATTTTGCAAATATTGAATAAATCATTTTCTATAACAAATACAAGATCTAAACAAATGTTATTTAGTTCTACCCAATTTGTTTTTGGGCGGGGATACAATACAAAAAATTTAACAATCAACATAAATATACTATATTTAAACTAACAACACATACAAACAAAAAATTACAGAAGTTACAATTCCATCTACACTTTGTTTGGATGGTTGTTACCCGTTGTATTATATTGTATTATTAGTTTAAATACAATGTTTGTTTTGATTGTTACTTAAATTTTATCATATCGTATCGTTTACATCCGTCGTTTGGTAACACAATAAGACTCATTTTGTATAACGACTGATTTGGTGTAATTGTGTCATTACCTTAATATTTTCTTTTCATAATAGTTGTACCACGTACCCTACAATTTCTTATAGATTTATCATTCAAATCATGGATATATGATATTATATAACAAAGGAGAACGATACAATCTATCAGAACGTTGTTTTATTAAAACAACACAATACAATATAATATAACACAATATAATATAATATGATATATTATGAAATTATGATATAACAACCATCTAAACAAAGTGCTAAGCTCATTGTCCCACCATATACACCACATAAATTGCTTGTATGGTTATGATAAAACCACCAAAGGCAAGAAATAGAAGCAATTTGACTAAATTACTGGCCACTCAGATTGATGAAAATCTGCCATGAAAATCCAAAAACATTCTCAGAAAATATATCTCAGAATCATCCATTGAGATAAAGCCACGTACCCAAATCCCAAGCCACATCTGTTCCCTCTAAATTAACCTTACAACTCATCTTCTTCATCATCATCTTCTTCCCTTACAACCCTTTCTGTTACTGAGTAATCTTTCCTCTTTCAACTTATCAGGTACTTTCTCTTACTCTTCTACTACTGCTAGACTTGTATTTGAATGCTTTAGCTCTGAATTTGAAGTTACTAGCTGCCCTTTTATGTTTGGCTCACAAACTGTTTGTTATAATGCCTCAGTGAATGATCTTTCACATGTAGGCTGTAGTTTGTAAATGAAAAGGAAACATCCACATCAAGATTTGGTTTAGTTTTATCTTTACCCCCACCCCCACACACAAAAATATGCACTTGGCGTGAATCTGGATTAGTTGGGCTCCAAAGTAGGTACTGGATACTGGGTGGGAAAACCAAAAAGAATATAGCTTTGGCTTAGTTTCTTGAAATGGGAGAAAGGGGATTTTTGTTTACTTCAAGGTTGATTTTTTATTTGAATTTTTGACATAACTAAGTGTGTTGTTACTTGTCTCACTTTGATAGCTTGGATAATGATGAGGGAAGTGATACCCAGATGCCAAGCTAACATTTTTCTACAGAAAGTGTTGAAAGTGGAAATAATTGTTTGTTATTATGCCTCAGTGGATGATCCTTCACCTGTAGGCTGTAGTTTGTATATGAAAAGAGACACCCACATTAAGATTTGGTTTAGTTTGCACTTTAGCTCTGAAAATAGACTTTTCGATATGTGAACCTGGATTAGTTGGGCGTTGAAGTGGGTATTGGATACTGGGTGGGAAACCAAAAACAATATAGATTTGGCTTAGTTTCTTGAAAGTTGAAATTGGGAAAAGGGATTTTTTACTTCAAGGTTGGTTTTGGATTTGAAATTTTGGCATAACAAAGTGTGTTGTTACTTGTCTCACTTTCATATTTTGGTTAATTATGAGGGAAGGTACCCAGGTGCCAAGCTAACATTTTTCTAGAGGAAATGTTGAAATTGGAAATAATCGAAGGCTTAAAACGAGTGATTTTTACTTTAAGGATGGGTCTCCTTCACTCTCTTGCAAATTGCACAATTTGAAATTGAAAGAAGCATTCGGAATCATGTCTCTTTTTAACTATCTATGTAAATGTGAAGATTTGAGGATTCTTTTGATATTTTATGGGTTTTTAAAACTTAAATGGAGATTCATGTTTTAAACTATTTTTCTTTGTTATACTTGTATTATATACATGGTAAACCAATGAGTACAGATGTGTGCAAGTATCGTTATGTATGCTTGCAGTTCCTTATTAATTTTTCGTGTATTTTAAAGAATATGCATGAATAACCCATACCTATATCAGATCTGTTTGATACAGGTATTCTAAAAGTAAATGATTCATGTAATATAGGTTAACTTCAAAAATCAGTTGCAAAGCATTTACATGCCATCAATAAAGCGAACTAGGAGTTCTTTTTGATAGATGAAATAAGCTTAAAATGGGTTGCTGAATTGTCATCATTGAGATCAGTGCTACTTGAGATGAAGAACACAAAAGGGAAAAAGTTGTCATACTAGTGTTTTCCCAATAATTTTTGAAGTAATTTATATGGGCATGGTGTCAGTCCTTTGCCTGATTGATTTATTTCCTTGTAACTTGCAGTTGTCAACTTTATCATGTTTCCTTTGCAGATTTATCATTAGAAGTGAACTGTGCAGGTTCTTGCTTCTTTTCTGAGTGTATCAACATGGCTACTTCATCAGTATGCATAGCAGGAAATGATTTGTTTACCCATAGAACACAGAAAGTTTTTAGGAAGGAGATCTATGGCAGAAAAATTTCATACTCCTCAAATCTTCCATCATCTAGAAAAACATCAAGAGTAGTTGTAAAAGCATCCCTTCAGCAAGGGCCACATGAAGGAAGAAGAGGCTTTCTCAAATTATTGCTTGGAAATGTTGGGCTTGGAGTGCCTGCTTTGTTAGGTAATGGGAAAGCCTATGCTGATGAGCAAGGTGTTTCTAACTCAAGGATGTCTTATTCTAGATTTTTGGAGTATCTGGACAAGGATAGGGTGCAAAAAGTAGATTTGTTTGAAAATGGAACCATAGCTATTGTAGAAGCTGTATCTCCAGAATTAGGAAACCGGGTGCAAAGAGTTAGGGTACAACTACCTGGACTCAGCCAGGAACTCCTTCAAAAGTTCCGGGAAAAGAACATTGATTTTGCTGCTCACAATGCTCAAGAGGACTCAGGTTCTCTCATATTCAACTTGATTGGAAATCTGGCTTTCCCGCTTATTTTGATTGGTGGTCTTTTCCTGCTATCAAGGCGGTCTAACGGAGGAATGGGAGGTCCTGGTGGGCCTGGTAACCCACTAGCATTTGGTCAATCAAAGGCTAAGTTCCAAATGGAGCCAAACACTGGTGTGACATTTGATGATGTTGCTGGTGTAGATGAAGCAAAACAAGATTTTATGGAGGTCGTAGAATTTTTGAAGAAACCTGAGAGATTTACTGCAGTGGGGGCTCGTATTCCAAAAGGTGTTCTTCTTGTTGGTCCTCCTGGTACTGGGAAAACCTTGCTAGCAAAGGCAATTGCTGGTGAAGCGGGTGTTCCATTTTTCTCAATTTCAGGCTCAGAATTCGTTGAGATGTTTGTTGGTGTTGGAGCCTCTCGAGTCCGTGATCTTTTCAAGAAGGCCAAGGAAAATGCTCCTTGCATTGTATTTGTTGATGAAATTGATGCTGTTGGGCGGCAAAGAGGGACTGGAATTGGAGGAGGAAATGATGAAAGGGAACAGACCCTGAACCAACTATTGACTGAAATGGATGGTTTCGAAGGAAATACTGGTATAATAGTTGTTGCGGCAACCAATCGTGCAGATATTCTTGACTCTGCTTTGCTGAGGCCAGGACGATTTGATAGACAAGTAAGCATCTGTCCTTGCCTCCGTTTTTTAACTGAGACTTTTGCAAGAAACTAAAATTTACAGCTCTTATCTAGGTATCCGTGGATGTTCCAGACATCAAGGGAAGAACAGAGATCTTAAAGGTTCATGCCGGCAACAAGAAGTTTGATTCAGATGTGTCTCTTGAAGTCATAGCCATGAGGACACCTGGTTTCAGTGGAGCAGATCTTGCTAACCTCTTAAATGAAGCAGCCATTCTTGCAGGTCGACGTGGTAAGACAGCAATCGCATCCAAAGAGATTGATGATTCAATTGATAGGATAGTGGCTGGTATGGAAGGAACAGTCATGACTGATGGCAAGAGCAAGAGTCTGGTGGCATATCATGAAGTTGGACATGCCATCTGTGGGTGAGTGCTGCACCATTAGCTATTTACTCCTAGCTCCCAATTTGCATCTATCATATAAGCATTTTTTTATGACAATATTATGACTCTATTATTGTGTTGGCATTTTAATTACCCAGCAGTGATTTCAACAGAATATCCTGGTGAGCCTCTAATGGCACTATGTGTTCTTTGCCTTGCAGAACTCTCACTCCAGGGCATGATGCTGTACAAAAGGTCACTCTAATCCCACGTGGTCAGGCAAAAGGTTTGACCTGGTTCATTCCTGCAGATGACCCAACCTTAATATCCAAGCAGCAACTCTTTGCTAGAATTGTGGGTGGACTTGGTGGAAGAGCTGCAGAAGAAGTGATCTTTGGTGAACCTGAAGTGACCACTGGTGCTGCTGGTGATTTGCAGCAGATCACTGGTTTGGCAAAACAGGTATACATGTTCACTGTATTTTTCGTGTTAAGGATTCTGGAACGGAATATATGTTGCGGTAATCTGTGGAGACTAGAAACTCTACAGATTGATTGGTTTGAATTAACCTATACTCCCCTCCCCCCTTTCCTTCAAAAGATTATAGAGATAATGAGCGATATAGTTATTCCCTCTGTTTCAATTTATGTGGTATAGTTTGAAAGATTTTTGGAACTTGTGATCTTAAACATGCCATGAAATTTCTATGGCTTCAGAAATACTTATGAAGCGTAAAATGAGAAGTCTAAAGTTAAAATTGTTTTCAAATATAGAAACGTGACATTCATTTTGGATAAGACTAACAACAAAATAGTGCCACATAATTGGAACGGAGCGGGTAGTTTTATCTTCTTTTTTAAGTCTGAAACTTATCATTCTGAAGATCTCGTTCTCGATAACTTAGTCCTGTAAAATGACAAACTGTGTATGCAGATGGTTGTCACTTTTGGGATGTCTGAACTTGGCCCATGGTCACTCATGGATACTTCAGCCCAAAGTGGTGATGTAATCATGAGAATGATGGCCAGGAACTCAATGTCAGAAAAGCTAGCTGAAGACATTGATGTTGCTGTGAAGAAGCTTTCAGACAGTGCATATGAGATTGCATTGAGCCAAATCCGCAGCAACCGTGAAGCAATTGATAAGATTGTGGAAGTCCTTCTTGAAAAGGAGACGATGACTGGAGATGAATTCCGTGCTATTCTCTCAGAATTTGTTGAAATTCCTACTGAAAACCGCGTCCCTGCTGCTGTACCTACCCCAGCAGCTGTATAATAGCTTGAACATATACTGCAACTTGTACAATTCATATACACTTATCTACCTAATTGATCTAGAGTATAAACAATAGACTATAAGAAAGTTAAAACACTTTTGTGCATTTGTGTTGGAAGCAATTTTTCACATTTGAAATAGAACTAGTATTTTCTTCATTGTAATGCTATGAGTTGTTTCCCTTGCTTTGAGCATTACTCAGTGCACAAACTCCTTATCACGACTCAATTCATCGAGGGGTTAGTTTAAACATCAGGTACGAATAAGTTCTTACTCTCGAGCCTCTCATAGCAACAACAACATACTAATATGATTCCAAAAGTGGGGTCTGATCTGGAATAAACTACTACTTATTTCATTTGAGATAAGTGATCTAAGAGGAATTATCTTTAACTATACATTGTTTTATTTATCTACTTAAACTACCACCCATGTATATTAAAAACACACTCTAATGTTGAGTTTACCTACACATGATTGTTAACGAGTGGGAACAATATCTGGCCATAGAAGTTCAAACAATAATCTTTGCTTAAATAACCAGTCGGATTTATTGTTTGTTTTTCTTAGTCGATATACAAAATTATACACTAACATATATTACGATAATTTTAAGTGATTATGTGGACGGCTATTTATGTTAATTCTTTTAGATAAAAAACAAATCAATAGACAACTTATAAAGGTATGCGCCAAAATAAGCTCAAATGAATGGGACAGTCTTGTGTGAGACCTCTGAGATTTCTTCACCTCCGGTCAGCAAACACTCGCCGGTTCTCGGCAGCCGCCACTGAGCTTTCAATTCTATGTTCTCAAGGTTACGTAAAAGAAGCCTTCAACAAGTTCTCTTTCTTAATATGGGACAACCCATCTCATTTCTCTTACCTTTTACAAGCATGCATCCAAGAAAAGTCCTTTTCCCTCACCAAACAGCTGCATTCTCTCATAATAACATCTGGGTGTTTCAGGGACAAGTTTGTTTCCAATCACCTGCTCAATGCTTACTCGAAATTGGGTCAGCTAGATACTGCAGTTTCACTGTTTGATAAATTGCCTAAGAGAAATGTCATGTCTTTTAACATTTTGATTGGTGGGTATGTTCAAATTGGCGATTTGGATAGTGCCTCTAAAGTGTTTGATGAAATGGGTGAGAGAAATTTGGCTTCTTGGAATGCTATGATTACTGGGTTGACTCAGTTTGAGTTTAATGAGAGGGCGTTCAGTTTGTTTTCGCAGATGTATGGGTTAGGTTACTTGCCTGATGCATTTACTCTTGGAAGTGTTTTAAGAGGTTGTGCTGGTTTGAAGGATTTGAATAAGGGCAGGCAGGTTCATGGTTGTGGATTGAAATTGGGCTTAGAGGGCGATTTTGTTGTTGCAAGCTCGTTGGCACACATGTATATGAGGTCTGGTAGCTTAAGAGAGGGAGAGATTGTGATCATGTCGATGCCAGATCAAACTATGGCAGCTTGGAATACTCTTATTGCTGGTAGGGCTCAGAATGGGTGTTTCGAAGGTGCATTGGAGCTGTATAATTTGGTGAAAATCGCTGGGTTTAGACCGGATAAGATAACGTTTGTTAGCGTGATCAGCTCGTGTTCAGAGCTGGCTACAATAGGACAGGGGCAGCAGATTCATTCTGACGTTATAAAAACTGGTGCAATTTCTGTGGTTGCAGTTGTAAGTTCCTTGATTAGCATGTATTCAAAATGTGGGTGTCTAGATGAAGCTGAAAAGATTTTCGTGGAAAGGGAGGAAGCTGATATTGTTTTATGGAGTGCTATGATTTCTGCTTATGGGTTTCATGGGATGGGAAAGAATGCTGTTGAGTTGTTTCATCGTATGGAGCAGGAAGGACTAGCACCTAACCATATTACTCTCTTGAGTTTGCTCTATGCCTGTAGTCATAGTGGGATGAAGGATGAAGGGCTTGAATTTTTCGACTTGATGGTGGAAAAGTACAATGTGGAGCCTCAACTGGTGCACTATACATGCGTGGTTGACCTCCTAGGAAGAGCAGGCTGTTTGCAGGAGGCTGAAGCTCTTATTAGATCTATGCCTGTGAAGCCAGATGGTGTCATATGGAAGACGTTGCTGTCTGCCTGTAAAATTCATAAAAATGCAGATATGGCTAGAAGCATAGCTGAAGAAGTTTTGAGGATTGATCCTGAGGATTCTGCTTCATATGTGCTCCTTGCTAATGTTCAAGCATCTGCTAAAAGATGGAAGAGTGTTTCTGAAGTGAGGAAATCAATGAAGGATAGGGGAGTAAAGAAAGAACCAGGAATAAGCTGGCTGGAGTTGAAGAACCAGGTTCACCACTTTATTATTGGTGATAAATCTCATCCACAATCAGACGAGGTTGATGTATACTTAAAGGAATTGATTGCACAACTGAAGTTAGAGGGCTATGTTCCTGATACAGGATCCGTTTTGCATGACATGGAATTAGAGGAAAAAGAGTATAACTTGGTCCATCACAGTGAAAAATTAGCCATTGCTTTTGCGCTGATGAACACCCCGGAGGGTTTTCCAATCAGGATAATGAAGAATTTACGAATTTGTGGTGATTGTCACATGGCTATTAAGTACATATCCCAGATGAAAAAACGAGAAATAATTGTACGCGATTCCAGTAGGTTTCATCACTTCAAAGATGGCTGTTGTTCTTGTGGAGATTATTGGTAAGGAGGTTACATTTGACAATCTTACTGTAGGTTATAGACATCCCCCTTTTCACTCAGAGTCTGTTTTTGAACCATTATTTCCTCCATTACTTGTAACATTATTCAAAACTTGAAAGAGATTCTATAAATTTCCATTCATATTGAAAGGCCAATATTTGGAATTTTGTACTGAATTTCTTTAGCTTCCAAATAACTTCAAGTAAAATTCTCTGACTTTGGACATAATATGTAACTAGTTTGCACACATGTTCACTGCATAAGGAAAGTTGCAATAATTATAAACAATTACATCAAATAAACAAGACATTTAATGTGCATGATTTACTTTAATTTGTACATAGCTTTTCTAAGTTGATACAAGTCTTTCTACTGCAGTGCTTCTAAATTCCAGCACTGTATTTGTTACTGGTACTTGCAATAAAATTACTTGAAGACAAAAAAAAAACTAACTTTAATGGATAAAGGGTTCACTCGACGGGAGTGGTAGCCAAGTGGTGGTCAAGGATACTTGGAATTTAGAGCATAATAAACTTGGTATCAGAGCCTACGATAAGTGGCAGAGCCCTTTACGATTAGAAAACCCTAGACTATAAAACGAAATATTTTTGCATCAACTTATATCCACACAATGCATTTGATAGGACCATAAAAGAGCAGAGAAATCTTCTCAATTCACATCATTAACCATATACTGTACATCAAGAAGACTACCAAAACCACTGACTCAATCCAACATAGTTGATGCTTATTGCTAGTCACAGCCATGCCCACTGACACAATGCTAATCTAAACTAGGTCCACATGCGACCAACTTTAAAAAAGAGAACTTCAATATACTACCAATTCAAGTATCAAGCAGCCACAAAGCAGTCTTCAGTTAAAGCTTTGCCACCACAATTGGTGTAAACAACCTGAACTTCATTTAGTTCCAGCATAATTCAGGAATATGATCAAATCTTTCGTCTGTACTAATAAATTCTCTACCTCATTTGGTCTTACAGAAACCATGTCTAACATCTTTGGCTCGTCCCACCCCTCTTGTGGTTCTCTGATTCTGCATAAGTGATAGTCGCCCTCCAGCACTTGATGGTTTCTTTTCAAGCAGTCTTAGGAATGCGCATTCAATTCTATGTTTCTCCCCTTCTCAGAGATATATTACATCCAGGCTAATGATAAAAGAATAGAACAATCAGAAAGGAAAGAATGATTGAACAGAATTTGAGACTCCACTTTCTTAAACCTCGAAACCAAACTCAAATGGACAATGTGCCAACTTCAGACCTGGAATGTACATTCAGTAGAGAAGGTAACCAAAGCAAACAAAACACCTGGTAGCTACATTCAGTCGGAGTCTGCAGGTTCATCATCGGAAGTCACTGGAGTATCAGTGGCATCAGCAAGGGAGTCTAGCATAAGCACCACCTCAGATGTGTCATCCAAGTAATACTTTGCTTTGCTAGGTTTTTGTCCAACTGTGCAAGCAAATACCTTGGCATCATATGAAATAATATTTCTGGACAAAGCATCGCCAATGATTTCAAACATATCTTCATCTGATCTATCATCACCAATGCAAAGCACAAAATCTGCCAGTTTTCCTTTCACTGCTAAAGATGTAAAGACTTTTTCTGCAACTAAACCTTTGGTGACCCCCTAAAATGAAAAGAGAAAATTAATGTTATTCAGAACACATGCCTAATCAACACATTAGTGACTGCAACCAACGCTAAAAATACACGTCAAAAAGCACTAACGAAAACGATATATTCAAGATACTCAAGAATTTGACAATAGCCATCAGAATAGTGAAAAAGAACACACTATATTGTTATTAAAATTATTACGTTAACAATATCTTTTTCTAGACAGGAAATATATGCCAGGTAGTCACTTGTCACTAGCAAAGAAATTGCAGTTCTCAACCAATTACTTGAGTAAATACTAAAGGCACTTTAGCTCGCAAATAACCTACGCATGGATTAATGGCACATCAATTAAAAAATAACATTTTTATTTTCTTTGACGATGCATGTATTGACGCAGCACATACAAAGGGAGGTGCTTTGGTGCATGTTATTTGGAGATGACATAGTATTTGTTGACGAGACGCGGAGTTAACGACAGGCTAGAGGTCTGGAGACGGATCATGGAGTCTAAAGGTTTTGGATTGAGTAGAAATAAGGCAGAGTACGTGGAGTGCAAATTTAGTGTTGTGACACGCGAAGGTAATGTGGAAGCGAAGTTGGATTCTCAAGTCATCTCCACGAGAGGGAGTTTCAAGTACCTTGGGGCTATTATCCAAGATAATGGGGAGATTGATGAGAATGTTGCACATAGCATTATAGGGGGTAGTTGAAATGAACGCTCTCATCTGGTGTGTTTTGTGATAAGGTGACGCCAAAAGTTGAAAGTAAGTTAAAACTTTGTTGTATGGGGCGGAGTGTTGTTGGCTAGTCAAGAACTCCCATGTCCAGAAGATGAAAATTGCAGAGATGAGGATGTTGAGATGGATGGGTGGGCTTACTTAAGAGAGATATGGTCAAAATGAAGATATTTGGGAAAAAGTGGGAGTGGCCTCCATGTCGGACAAGATGCAAGGCTGAAATGGTTAGAGTATGTCAAGAGGAGTTCCACAAGACACACTAGTGAGGAGGTATGAGAGGCTGATGTTAGGGCTTGAGGAGAGGTAGAGTAAGGTAGGCCGAAGAAGTATTGGGAAGAGGAGTTTAGGCAGGAAATGGCAAGTCTTCAGCTTACACCAAGGGTCATGGACATGACCCTTGATAGGAGGGTGTAGAGGTCGAGAACTAGGGTACAAGGCTATAGTAGGTAGTCTTGCATTCTGTTTTTCCTTTGAGTAGCATTACTAATAGTATTAGTATTATTGAGATGGTTCGCATTCTGTTTTTCCTTGCGAGTAGCATTAGCATCAGTACAAGTCTTGTGTTTTTTATTATCATGTTGTTGTTACTGCTTAGTGCTTATGTTTCCATATATGTAGTGTTTAAGCTTGCCTTGAGTTGATGGTCTACCGGAAACAACCACTCTACCTGCACAAGCTAGGGTACGCTCTACCCTCCCAATACTCCACCTTGTGCGATTACACTGGGTATGTTATTGGACTAAAAATAACCTATGCATTTAATATGGAGGATGATAATACTGAATTACATAAAGGGATAGCTAATGGAGATTGATGCAAGCTTGAAAGCATTACCATCCGCACTTACTAAAAAAGAATATACACCATCCTTATAAGCAATATAACCAACTAGCGACTCATAAGCAAATGTGATACTTGGGGCGTGTTTGGTATAAGGAAAACATTTTCTTACTTATTTTCTACTGTTAGGTAAGTAAACAAAACATATGATCACAAGAACATTTATATGTAATCAAGCAAAACACTTTGAGGGTGAGATGGGGTGGGAAGGTGAAGTGGCAGGGACGAGGAGTGAGATTGTCAAGGGGTGCGGGTTAACAGCTAGGTGGGTGGGAAGGAGACAATGAACTTGTTTCCCAGAGAAAATGTTTTCCAAAATAACATGACCAACCAAACATGGAAAAAGCTGGAAACCTCCTAACCAAACACACCCTTAATGTGGAGATCAGCACAATTATCATATACAGGAAACCAAAGGATGTATAAGGTTCTATGGTCAACAAGATCATATTTCTCATTTTTATTTTTATTTTGAAAACACGATCATATTTCTCATCTAAACACCGATAGCTAATAAAAGAGTTTTATCCAGATTACAGGGAAGTGGAAACCAAACACTGTTTTTGGGAGAGGAGACTAATCAATATGAGAAGAAGTCATTTACTAAGGACGCTAGGTAACATTTCTGAAGTGTAAATCTTGGAATATAAGCAACAAATATGAATCAAAACATATGGAAATTGGGATAAGTAATACGTGCCTGAGGCTTCACTTCCACAATGTGCTGACCGCTTTTCACGGCAACCGGTTCATTCGCTAAAACACTCTCCAGATGATCAAGCATCTCCTTTGCCTGAGAAAACCCAAATCCAGAATCCGCATCACGATACTGCCACACTATAGCACTTTCCTTTCTTTCTATGCAAGAACCATCTGTAGCGTCTGTATAGGATTGCATCACGGGTTCAGCAAGTTGCATCCACCCAAAATCAGAGGTCTGACTGCATACTTCCCATTTCTGTTCTCGTTCCCATCTGCATTGTCAGACTAAAAATTAGCAAACACAAAAGAGAAAAGATTGACCTGGCAAACAACAAACCCTAATTCTTGCACAATAGAGATATGAGAAGGCACTGGGATGATTGGATTAATGAACTAATTGGAATTTGGAAGTACTGAAAGATGTAAAAGCTGCATAGAATACTAAAGATAATTCTAACAGCTATATCAAATGTTAGGGGCATCCTAAAATGATGAGATGAAAATGACCGATATCACTTTTGCTTCATTTGCAAGAAAACTCCTTTTTTTTTTTTTTGATAATGGTATCAGCTCTAACACCGAGCGAGTGTTGCTTTACCAGAACACTAGACTTGTAAACACCATACAAAAAGTAGATACAGGAAGCAGGAATAGTCCATATCAAGACCACAGCAACTAGAATGATTGATATTTTGGATAACGTAACCAAAAGAAGCACTAGTCATTTAGACACCAGAATGCAGGAAATATTGATATCAATTGACATTGTACAGGGAAATAGAAGAAACAGACCTCAAAAAGTAGCCATGTTCTGCTGCAAGTCCTAGTTTTCTACAAGGAGAAAACCACTTGGTTAGGCTTTCCCTCCCTCTTCCACTAACAATGAAGACTGTGTTGTTTGGATCACCAGAAAGTTTATTCAGGATGGAGATAACATTAGCACTAGGAGACTTAATGATAGAATTCTGCGGCATCACAGTTCCGTCATAGTCCAGGAATATGGCCCTGCTCTTAGACTTGATATAAGCATTCACAATATCATCAATTGACAGCTTCCTGAAGTTGGGATCTAGGGAAACAACTCTAAACCCAAAGCCTAAACCAATGCCAT